AAATTCCTAGCCTCAGAACGATCGTTAGCAATGAAATTTTAAAAACTCTTTATAGTGAGCTCGGACTTCATTTACTTGCAACTTATTGTGCTTCTATGCTAATCTCTGCTTCTTCGTTAGTTCCATAATCTTCGTGATCATCAAGATGCCATGCTGGGTTCTTCTAGGTTTACTTGAAGATAGCTATCTCTTTTGACTTCAGAAACTTGGGTCAAATAATACGGTATGAGTGGCAACGGAGAATTTCTGACCTGACAGAATTACTAGGTCGAATTACTCATCTTACTGAACATCTGAAAAGCTTAATTTTTTTTTTTGTTGAAATAACCAAACTTTTTATTTGCCAAGTTCTTTCAGGAGGTAGGTGATCATTGCTCTCTACAACTTGCTGCTTGTAGTTGCTCTGAATATTTATTTATTTATTTTTTTTTTGCCTTTTAACATCAGTCTTTATAGCAGACACAGAAAGAAAGTTACAAAAACTTCTACAGAAGATAGCGATGAAAAGCAAGAAGAAAGGATTGAACATCAATTGAAAAAAAAGACAGAATGCATGGCTGTCAGTAAAATGCAGAACCAAAGTCCGGATTGCTAATCAGAGATACCAAAATAAAATAAAAAAAAAGAAGCACGGACATTTAAATATCTGGGAATTGTTTTAACAACGGACAGAAAGAGCGACACTTAAACCCAAAGGCGTATTGGAATAGCTAAAAATGCCTTCTAAAAGGCTAAGCAAAATACAGGAAAATTTCCCTAGAAACAAGGAAGAGAGTGATAAAATGCTACGTGATATCTGTCCTCTTGTATGACAGGAGACTTGAAACAACAGAAATATGGTTCTACAGAAGGATGCTGAGGATACCGTTGACCGAACATATTAGTAATGACGAAGCTCTGGAGAAAATGGAAACAAAAAGAAAACTAATACGTAATATCAGAATGACAGAGATGAAGTCTCTGGAGCATATGTTAAGAAAAGAGGGCTTGGAAAATCTGATACTCACGGGAGAGTCAGAGGGCTAGAGGGGGAGAGGAAAACAACGCATAACGTACCTAGTGAACTTTAGTAAATGAATGACAGAACAAGTTAGGGGTTGAGAAAACAAAGACAACATTTATTAAGAGCTACAAAGGACATGAACTTGTGGAGACGGTGCATAGAAAAATATTTGTTCTTGTTCTGTTATCCGCTCGCACACACACTATGTATGTTACTCACTGTTGCCACCACATATGCGCTGCGTTGGAAATTTTCTAGACCATCTTTCCTCTATATATATATATATATATATATATATATATATATATATATATATATATATATATATATATATATATATATATATATATATATATATATATATACATGTTTCGTTAAAAAACGATAGACAAGGTACTACGGTTAAGCTTTTTATTGAATTTTTCTTGTGTTCGAACAAGAGCTTTCTTTTTCTGGAAAAAGACCCTAACCTTATCCTCAAAAATAACAACACACCAGCTAAGTCAAAATTACAATGAACAAACATTATCTATTTCAAATGCCCCTTAAGGAACTGTGTTCCTGATCAAACCGGACTCATAAATAATTACATCGGTTACACAACCACATGCTTATCCAGACGTCTTACGTTACACATATCTGATCACAGTGCCATTAGAACCCATTTAAACACACACAAAAATTTACCAGACTCCATTAGAAACATACTAGTAGAAAACACAAATATATTAACTGCATCCACCTGTAAAAAAATGATTAAAATAATGGAAGCTTTAATAATAAAAAAGAAAAAGGCAACCCTTAACAATATTAACTACGAACAAGGCCACAATGGGCTAACCGTATTCGGAAATTAAAACATCCCTACCACACACTAAGACATACACATAACGCACACACTCAATTAAACTGAAAAATCGAATCATCCTTGATAATGGCATAAGGTATAGCTGAAAGCGCTCGGAAATATAAAACATTTGGACAGTTCTTACACACCCTTTGTCCAGAAAAGAAAGCTCTTGTTCGAATACAAGAAAAATTAAATAAAAAGATTAACCGTAGTACCTTGTCTGTCGTTTTTAAGGAAACATGTATAAAGGAAGGATTGCTGTCTAAATATACAACTATATATATATATATATATATATATATATATATATATATATATCCCAGAAATTTTATTTGTCTCTTTCTGATTGTATGTTGTTTTATAGTTCCTCTTTCGCATAAGACTTCCTTGCTGCTCTCATATTTTGTCAATAGAATTCTTAGCATCCTTTTTTACAGGTCTCTTCATTTGTGAGTAAATTGTCCAGCTTGGTTATTACGTTGTAGTTCAGCCCTATTTTCTTTGTATCTAAATCTCTATTTTCTTTGTCTTTAAGTATCTATTTTCTTTGTATCTAAGTCTCTATTTTCTTTTTTTTCCTAAGTTTCTACAGTTTGTTCCTTTTCGAACAACTTTCGCTTTTCTTACGCAACCTTTTCTGTGCCACATTTCATGTCGTTCACAATTATACTACACATTAATTAAACTTTCTTACCTGCTCGATTTTATCATTCTCAAAACGCAACTCACTGGACTGTATCCACTGATGATGTCCTTGCATTCTGTCGTTACAATATCTAAAAAATTATCGGGCTTAAATATAAGTACATACAATCAACTCGTATTTCAAATTTCTCAGATATATTGATTTTCGATTTTTGCCTTCTGACTATCGATTTTTCCGCATGTTTTCTGTTGCTACACTAAGAAACCTATAATTATAGTTTTCTTAAAATCTGGAACATTTAAATTTTCCCTGTTCACTGGAAACGAAAATCTGGTTCCACTTTAGTTTCTCGGAGACACACACATACAGAAGAAACAGCTAAAACGACAACAAAAATAAACCTACATTTTTTTTTTTTTCAGCAATTTATTTTGCTTCAATCTAGAGACTTTTATTCTTTTAAGTGTCCTCTTTCCACTGTCTTAATCTTTACTTTTTCACTCAGTATTCATTAAGTTGCAAATATCTGAGATAGTAAATTGAATCTTACTTACGGAAAATAACCTGGGACACATTCAGGGAAATTAAGATGCTTATTAAAAATGCTGTCAGTGCATGATTTCGTTTCAGTGCGTTAGAAAGCAAAACTCATTGGTGCTAAATAATAGAAATTCAAATCTGACTAAACATCAATTATGTTTGTACGCTAACGTCAGTCCAGTGAAATGTCATTGCTTTCAAAATTGTGTTCTTTCTCGCTGTCTGATCTGATTTCGTCACCCTTTAATCATTCTAAATCTTTCTAGTTTCTCATTTCTTTCTTCTTTTGTTTCTCTTCTTACAAACCCACCACAAAATGGTGGATGCATAAAAGAGAAGCATGTTCGCACGTATTCAATTTTTGTATAAAATTGTAAATGTTCTGAGTGACGATATCACTGACTTTGTGAAAGAGTAAAGATGACTTCTTACATAGAAGAAAGGGTAATGTCCTTTTGATTTTATATAATTAAAGTACCTTTCACCGTGTGAATGAAAATATGAAAATCATTCATATTGTTTTCTTTTCAGGTATATTTATTAGTCACAGACACGCATTGAAATACCTTATTTATTCCGAATAGTAACTCAGCAGAGTCGGTTATTCCCTTCTTTGTCGTAGATATTCAGAATGTGACCATGACGCTACCCACTTTTACTGAAATGTAAACGTTCTCTCTATTCGACAACTCTATTTTTGTTCTCATAGCTCAGCATTTCTCAAGATGAAAATATAAAAATATATTAAATTAACAGTAAATAATACGAACAAACATTAAGATCACTTTATTAATTGTACAATACCAATTCTTTAATTAAAAAAATAAACCAAACAAAGCAAAAGATTATTATTTCTAGCCAATTATATTAGTTCTGAAATATTAATATATTATTATTTATTAGGAAAAAAATTCAGCATTAAAACGCTCATCAAAAATATGAATAAATAACTGTCCTAAAATAAATATACATCTACGAAGGTCTATTATTATTTTTTCTTCAAAAATGTATTGCTGGTATTTTTTTTAAATATATAGCTGGTAATATTTTTTTTTCAAAAATGTATTGCTGGCAATAATGTATTTTTGGTGATACATTTTCTTCAAACCTTTATTGCTGGTAATGTTTTACAAAGTATTTCGGTATTAAAACCTATTTTTACACTTTTATAGTGTTTTGACCCCAGTTTGGGGTTAACTATTTACCCATAGCTGGGACCCTAACAGCTTCTACCACCCTGGGTCAGTATGGCCCTGGGAACACCAGCAATTAAGAGGTAGTTCGACGCTACTCAAAACCTCCTGATCAGAGGCCTTGCTATTGGATATAGTTTATCGTCTTACCCAGGACGGGATTATCTTTCTGTGTAGTAAATATATTTTCAGACCAATTCATATATTTTTCTTTTGGGGGATTTGAATCTATATAGAGCATTGAATGCTCTATATAGATTCAATATCATTCAATGTTAGAATACTTCTTTTAAATACATAGTTTTCTGTGTATAAATGCTTATTTAAAAATGGCACTACGTGAAAAATCTCTTTCAGTTAAAGGAGTGTATTAAACACGCAGAACAGCTGACAAAGGTAGATTAATATTAGGTAAAAATACTTTGGGCAAAATTGTGAAAAAAATGAAGAATAGTGGCGAAGTCAATTGTGAATTATCAACCAACTCGATCACCCTTCATAGCATCGAGTGTTATTAGTTATATCAGGGGATTAGTGAATGAAGACGCAAGAAATTTGGTCGTGGGTTTTGTTGATGAGATAAAAAAATATGTATGTACTGTTAATGTTTCGATTACAGCAAACGATTCCTGATCAAGATAGGAAAACCTAGCTGAGAACCGGCGACTAACTTTGAGACAGAAGCAAGTTCAGAAGTTTGAAAATCTTTATTATACATGATGAACTGAGTCCCTGTCCATCACATACTGTATGCGTGTAACTTTACATGCACGTATGTAATGTATTTTCTTATCTGTGTTGTCCGAACATAAATTACCTTTGCTTTAACTATTTAAAGTACACAGTGGTCTGAAAGTCTTGTCACGCCCTACCAAAAAGTAATGACAACAACAGAAGTACAAGTAATCTCTTGAACATGAGTAGAGGCTTACGCCTTGTTTCTTGTTTAGGAAGGGGATCCCGGTACTCTCTCTCTCTCTCTCTGGCCTCTGTATCTCCTGTTGCCTTGATCTATCCACTACTCTTCTCCTCATCCTTTCTTCTATCACTCCTATCTGATCTTGCTCCAAATTTTCTGTAACCCCTTGCGTCCTAGTGGCTTTCCGCCTTGCTTGGGGTGAAACGCTTAAAAAAAAATACAATAATCATGTACAGGGTGGTCCTAAAGTCTTGTCACCTCTTACCAAAAAGTAATGAGAACAATAGAACAAAATACAGTAATATAAAGTACAGGTACTGGATTCAGTTTATTCCCTTTCATTGACACTGCCACAGATCGAGAAGGTCTGTATGAACACCATTATTTTCCGACTATTAATAGTGGCGAGGAGAGATTTCTGTTGGCCCACAAGACTTGCCCTTGTTCCGTACATCATCATTGGCTTTTGTGGTTCCAGTAGGTGAGGCGGATGAGCTTTCTCAAGCATTTGTTCTCGAATTCCTGGATTCTTTTTCCTGCTTCACCTAGGTGTGTTCAAGTCTCACACCCATCGATACGATCATCCACCTATATGCGTGTGAGACTATTAAATTATATTACAGTATCTCAAACAATAATAGTTTTACTTCCTTTCCTAACTAAAATACATAAAATTATGGATACTTACCTATAACTATTTTCACTAATAAGAACTCGTTTTGCAATAAAGAGAAGGAAGGTAATTTGAAAGAATCGCTATACAATGTGATCTTGATGGCCTTGTCACCACTTACTGATAAGTAACGAGAACAAGAGAAGAACATGTAATACAGTAATACAAATCACATATACTGGATTCAGTTTATTCACTTTCATTGACGCTGTCATACATCGAGATGATCTGTATGAACACCATCATTTCCGTGGCACAAAATGATCCGGCGCCATGTCCTGTGGGATATTTTACAAACCTGTGTTTTGTTGATTGTTGCAAAGGCTCTCCGAAAGGCGTCCTTCAATTAATGGATATTCTGGTATCATCCATCCACTTGAAAGCATCATCTCTTCCAAACTGTAGGAGCTCGTGTCAGCCATCTGAAATAGAAAATTATATTATATTAGGATGACATGACTTTCAGATCAACACCTACTTTCATTGAATCGAAATGTATATATGCTTACGCGTAAAAGCACATACAAAATTTGCATTAAATTTAAATAGGCATCTGTGTTGCACGGGCTAATTTCTATTTTTGTCAATAACCCTTCGATAACAAGAAAACGGTATAAGCAAAAATGTGCAGACCATTGAAGTAATTTTATAGCTCCTATATTTAAACTGAATATATTTTCTATTATATGGAGTACATTAAATGACCAAAGAATTTAGATTTGAAATTTGATCATTTTTCTGTCAGGTGTCGCATTAGCAATGATAAAATTCAGATTTGTCGTCAAATAGGGAAAAATCTACGGGTTTGGTCTCATAGCCTTAGGCTATTTTGTTGGGGTTATGGTGAGGCGTGCAAAGAAAGGCATGTTCTTAACTCCTAAGCATGGCAGCGGCTACATCATTGTTTGTAGATGTATGAGCGTTAATTACTCTGATGATCGGCATTTCTTAATAATCGGAGTAATTATTGTTGAAGTGTCTGCCAAAATATTGAAAGAAAGCCTGTCGCTAGCACCAAACACTTACAAAGAGGAGCCATGATATTGATTCAAAACATTGCGCTGAGAAGAGAACAGAATTTCTACAAAAGCTAAGAGTAAATGAGTCCAATCAACTGAGCAGTCGGATTTAATTTTGATCACTTGGGGAACCTATTTCAATGGAAAAGTAGAAAAATGACAGCCATCCAATAAGGTAGATTTGAAAAGCTTGCATACTGTCGGAGTGTATAAAAGATTCCGGTGTATTTTTTTTGTTTTGTTTTTGTTTTTTTGTTTTTTTGTTGTTGTTATTTTTTTTATTTTGGGGGGCAGGGGTGCACAAATCAAGTGAGGTCACCTTCATCAAAAGCAGAGATCAAAACTATTAGGTTGGTGCAAAAATAATTTCGTTTTCTAACATATGTTACTATGCAAGAAAACGAAATTATTTTTGCACTAACCAACCAAATTGAATGCAAAAATAATGACGTAATAATGTCGTTTTTGACGTTAAAAATAGATAAAAACGACATTATTACGTCATTATTTTTGCACCAGCCTAATAAAAAAGTGGTCACATCAGCTATTAAATACTATATATTAGGTTGGTGCAAAAATAATGACGTAATGATGTCGTTTTTGACGTTAAAAAATACGTCCAAAGACGACATGATTACGTCATTATTTTTGCACCAACCTAATATTTAAATAATTTATTTCTAAGAGTTTTACTTATTTTGGGGCTACTACGTATATTTTGAGATACAATTTTCAGTTCTGTTGAATTTGGTAATAATTTATAACTACCGTAAACTCCGGCGTACAAGTCTGGTTTTAAAGCCTAAAAACATCTTTCCAAAAGAAGGGGGTCGACATATGGCGGGTACGAAATGCAAACCTTTACCACCGTGTTGTAAACAAAAGGCGGAACACTCCTAGCATTTACTATACACCACTTACCGTATCTCCAGCAGACAGCCACAAATACATCCCACAAAAACTTGAGGGGCACCTCGAGGTGATGCAAGCTTGTTTCGCTAGATCAATTCCGTCTGAATAGAGAGTTCGATCTTCATTGGGTGCCTCATGCTTCCCGCCTTGTGCCACATCTAAGCTACGCTTAGAAAATCATTTTTGGACACTCCGAGGCGGTGTAATGTTTAGCAAGCTTGTCTCGCAAGAACAATTACGAATGAGTAGTGAGGTCGATCCTCACTGGGTGCCCCATACTTTCGGCCTTTTGCCACATCTAAGCTACGCTTGGAAAATCACTATCCCACTAAAATTATGTTTGGCGAACATATTTAACATGTTAGCAGATAAATTAATAGAATTTAATTGCTAAAATTGTAACACGATTTTGATATTCTATTAACCTCGTATACCCGATGAATTTTAAATGTTCGTAATATCTATACAATATACGGTACCTACCGGTGAGTTTTCTAGGTTGTTTTGTATACAGCGCATATAGAAATAAATATTAGTGTCTCAATATACAGATAAGTCGTGTGACCTTGTATATTTTGAGTACAGGTTATCGTATACTACAGCCTAACTTAATTTATCGGTAGGCATAAGTTTTGTGTCACTGGTAGTCTGCCGTGTGTTTTTGGGGTCGTCCTATGCGGTAGATATAAGCCTAAGAATTTTGAGCTAAAAATCTTGAAGTCGACTTCTACGTCGCAATTTATGACAGTCATATCCTTCGTGATTGTTTAATGTTTTACTAGAAATAATAAAATTATGCTTAATTTAGAAGACTGTCCTTTTTTACATAAATAATGGTATAGTTGTATTTTTTGAAAGAACATTTCGTATTTTCAAATATACTACTGGATACAGAAGATTTTTCTATAAAATTATTTCATGTATTTTAGTGCATTCACCGCATTCAATTGATAACTCATCAGAATTGCAACATTAGATATAAATTATTTTGTAGTAGTTTACTTTACAATTATAGTTATTATTAAAGTTTCATTTCAACTCGTGAATATGGAGACTCTACTTATAATGAAGCAAAACAAATGTATTTCATCTTCAAGTGAAAAACGGATTGATATACACAACAAATGGAAACACGTTAATAAAAATCAACCCCACTTCCTCATACAAATGTGCTCATTGCTTTAGGGACTTAATCATTAATTGTGACGCGGTTTTGCTGCCACAAATTGGATAATAGTCTCAATCATTGCTCCAGGCTCCAACTCCTTTACATTTAAAAAAAAAAAGTGTCCCTAGAAATAAATTATGAATCTATAATGGGGAATAAATAAGCGATAATTTGCTTTAAGCGATTTTCCACAAAGTCTCTTTCTCTCTTTAACCATTTCTTTCAGTAATCTCATCTCCGGAACTCCCAATTGCTCCGCCACACACACACACACACACACACACACACACACACACATCTTCTTTACTTTTCTTTCTTTTTTTCCTACTAGTTTTATCCACTTTATATCTATTTCGGCCATCGCTCTGTCTCGCTGCATGTAGACCCAACCTGTTTCTTTTTCTGCTGTTTTCTTTCATATTTTTTTTTTCTTTTCGAGAATTCCCTCTCCACCGTCACAACCGCCACGACCGACCTGCACCATCTTCCTTCCGTTCACACGTCAATATTCTTTCGATCACTTGAGTTTAGCCACCTCTGCCACTTCCCTGACTTAGGGATTTCCTCAATATTCAGTCACCACACCGATACCTACAATACTTACTCTCTTTTCATTTTTCTATCGAGATGGACAAAAGTGAAGATATGTGAATATTACATTAAAGCCGATAAGCTGTTTATAAAACGATTAACGTTTATCGGTGGGGGGGAGTAGGCTGGTTGGAAAGGAGCGGGAACGATTTTGAAATATGCTTCTCTCAATAATGCAGGCAAAGCGCCACAAAATAAAAAAAACGTCGAGGTGGCGGAGGGATTAATCAGATTTTTTTTTTTTTTTTTTTTTGTTTTGGAGGGGGTTAAATCAGATGTTAAAAGTGGGGGCTAAGTTTGATGTCTTAAACTATTGCTGATTTTTTTTTTCCGGATCAGATCCTGTCATAAATTGAATATATTTTTAGATTTGTTATTCTACTGTAAATATTTTGTTCTTTTCTTTTCTTTTTTTTTTTAAATCTAGTTCATACCAAGCAAGGCGGTAAAGCTGCTAAAACACAAGGGGGGGTACTGAGTGTAAAATAATTAGAAAACAGAAACATTACCAAAGAGCAAGAACAAAAAGAGTAATCATGAAGATAGTACATAAAGCTTGATATTGTATTTACATTTTTGAAAATCAAAGTTGGCCGGAAAGAATGCAGCCGGAAGAGAGTTCCACTAGCGACAAGTAAAAGAAAAGAAACTGCTAACATAAGACTTAAGGCTACATCTAGCCAACTCAACAGTACATTGATGTCACCTCATCGTCCGTCTTGTACTGCGCTTAAATTCATTAAGTCTAGGCATCATAGCAAAGACATCATCTGAACAATTACCACGAAAATATTTTGAGAAAACGTACTGGAAGGCAACTTAATGGCGGTGGGAAATTGACTGAAACAGAGACGCCAGATCAAGATTAATAGTATTGCTGATTCATTTTTTGGCTTTTATCAAGGAACACATATATATATATAGCAGGAGCATTTTTCGGTGTATAATAGTTATGTAGACATTTTAGAAGATAATGTTTAGGAAAAGAAAACGGAAGATTGATTTTTCTGATTTATTTTGAAAATTAATGGATGTAATGATTTAGAAGAAATGATACTGCTCGGCTTAGTCGTATTGTCATAGTTTGAGACAAAAGTCTTTTTTCGTTTACAGTTCCAGCCAAAAATGAGGAAGTTGCATATCTATCTGATGAACGATCGACTATGTCATATTCTCGATGCCAAAAATGTACCATAATTTTGAGCACTAGAATAATATCATGTAATAATACTGACTATTTTTTAAATTTTTTTTACTAAATTTCACCTAGTACAAGATTCGAGAGTGACTCAAGTTAAGGGGTCAGTCGAAATGGTTATGATGTATGAGGTGTGTTATATCAATGGATGAAAAGGTGGTGGGTATAATGTTAAGAACAAGGAGATATTACGATTGACACTTATACATGTCACTTAAAAAGGTCAAGACTGAGATGTTCCAAGCAGCACCCATACAGGCGTCTGTTCCAAAAAGAGAAAAAATGTGTAAGTGGAACTTTCTTATTAAATTTGAAGCACGGGGGAAATGAGGAAGATTCAACTCCGTGGAAGTAGTATAGCCTGTCCAAGATGTAATGGTCTGTACTGATAAAACTAAAGAACAGACCTGATATGGATATTTCATACGAAATTAGTGACACTGTTGCATCTGTATGAAAGAGGTTGCAAGATGACAAGTCTTCCCCCAGACGACAGTTTAAACGATTTTGAACTTTATCAGAGTTAGAAAGTGAGGACTGACCATTTCCAGCCTCTATATATTGTAGCAATACTCAACTTTTTAAGGCTTAATTCGACTCCTGTGAAGATAAAATCTGGCAGGACACTTATAATGTCTAGAAAGAGTCGATTTTTTCAGCATTTTAGCAATAGATTTCATAAGAGTGTGAAAAGAGGTCTTGAGTCAACGTGAAAACCAAAAACGTTCCCAGCATACATACATACATATACACTTATATATATATATATATATATATATATATGTGTGTGTGTGTGTGTGTGTGTGTATATATATGTGTGTGTGTGTACATGTGAATATGTGTGCATATATATGTCAATAAGTGTATATATATCTGTGTATATATATATATATATATATGTGTGTGTACATATATATATATATATATATATATATATATATATATATATATATATGTGTGTGTATGTATGTGTATATATATATATATATATATATATATATATATATATATATATATGTATGTATATGTATGTATATAATGATCCATAATATAAATTATGGTTAGGATTAGCTTTTGACTTTCAAGTAAACTAACTGCTATTCCAGTTCACTAACAATTGAACTAAGTCTACAAGGACCATACTTTAAATGTATCTCTATACGAACCATTAGCTACGGCTGATAAGGACGACGTTTGTTGTATATCTTTGGATGAAGGCAAGCTCTTATGTACGGCTCAGCCGGCTTTTAAGTTTATCGTTGTACTAAGTGCCGAACAAATGATTGCTGCTCGCCTCTGAGGGGGTTAAAAGACAAATCAAGTGGTCTGTTCTACATCACTCTGTAAGTTTAGAGCGGCAAGAAAGTTGTTTTGAATCGGAGTTTGATAGTATGATAGTCCTACAGACGGGAAAGTGTTTTCCTCGCAAGAAAGAGAATGTATCTGAGAGATGATAAAAATGAGTGAGTTTTAAAAAGGGTGTGAAAGAGGAAGTTGTATTAGTCATTAAAGACTAAGGTAGAAATAAATCTTGGATAGATGCTTAAGAAAGAGGGATGGAAGCGAGACTTATTAAGGACACAAAAGAACGTTTCTTAGAGAGAGAGAGAGAGAGAGAGAGAGAAAATGGAGGGTTTTAGAAAGTCTGTGTAAGTACAGGAGAGAAAGTGAAGGAATTAGAACGTTCAGAAGACAAAGAATCGGCGATTTTTTTTTCTCCATGATATCGGTAAAAACTTTAAAGATCACATAGACCTCCAATCGCTCTATCAGACGCTGAAACAAATACAGATGAAAGAAACGAAGGTGGTCGACAAAGTAGATAAATGCAAAAGAGAAAGATCTACGGCGAAGGAGGTCCTGAATTGGTTAAAAGTAATCAACACGGAGATAAATTCTGCCGTCTATTTGTTTCTCTTTGTGTGCTTTTTGTTAATATTTTAAATTGCCATTATCTATCTCTTTCTGAGAGGTGACCTCCACTGCTTGGGTGTGTAGAATTCTACGTGTGAATTCGTATTCTTCATCATCATGGAAAACTCAACAAAAAACTGTCATGAAATGGGTTGCATATGAGTATGTTCATATTTCTAGAAAAGACACAGAGAACCCACCGCCGTAATGTGGCTTCCCTGTGCCTTTTCGGTAACTATTTTCATGATAATTGTTCTGATGAGCTTGTCTCTTGGATACTTCGACTTTAAGAATTTAAACGCAGTACTAGATTGGCGGCTAGGTCTCGTCATTATACAGATGTAACCATAACTTCTATGCTAACAGTTTTTTTTTTTGTTTTTTTTTTTTCTCGCGCATTTCTCATTTGTCGAACACTCTTCCGGTTTTCTAGCTTTTGAGTCAATTTTGATCTTCAAAAATGCAACGTTATTTTCTGGTTTCTTAATTCCTGTTCTTTTATTGTTCTCTCTCCTTTTTTTCACATATCCTTTCACACTGGCTACCTTCCGCGTCTTAGTGGCTTTATTGTCTTGTTTCAGGTGAAATGAATAAAAAAAAAAACGAGTTTAACCCATTAACACCAATCGTCTGCTTTTTGAAACGGTGGACATTAAAGTGATTGTACTAGAAACTCATATAGCTGGATTACAACAAATATTTACATAATATGTTTACTGGTTGCTACATTGTGAATCAAAAATACACAGATTTCATATTAATCCTCTCTATACCGTCTTGGTGTTGATCCAACTTCTAATCTCACATATATACGTTCGTAGAGATGACGATATATTATTCCACGTCGCTTTGTACCTGCTAATGCAATACAATGAGAGATATATATACGCTAACAGAATGAGTCAAGCGTTTTCTTTTGTCCTATGTGTTTTCAATGACAAACAAGTCTGGTGATATTGTCGTTCAGGTATTTGTCGAATATCTTGCAAAGCATGACGATTATGTGGGTGGGTATTATCCTGCTGTAACAACAGATCGCTTTTCGGTTACAGTAATAACAGCGGAGGAGTTTGAACACTGATTTGTAGGTTCACAGGGGTGATCAAAGATCCCTCCACAAACACCAAAGAGGAGCAAGTGTTTTTTTTTTCTTACGACATTCCTTACCATACGCCAGAAGTTGGGCCTGCGTATCCTCGTCGAATACAATTAGGATGATGTCTCTGCACTATAAGAACACAAATCTTTTTGCATGTCAAATATTAAAAGCCAAATGAAATCTTAAAAAGAAATGCCAGAATCCGACCAGTTGCTTTACGTTGACGATGCATTAGTTTGTAATATATTTGAAGTTGGAAATTTAAAAATACTCTTCGAAAATAATTAATCTCTTAAATTCACATATGAACTTAACATCAGTAATAATATTTATTTTTTACAGTTTTAAATCGCAAAAATTAATTTTTAAACGTCCGTTTATAAAAAGATTTCAGACGCTAGTCTAATTATAACAGCGAATGCAATTATAGATACAAAATAACCATCATAATTAATACAGCAATAATTTATAATGAAAAAAGATAAAAGAAACAGTAATCAACAGTAAATTCCCAAGCTATATAATAATTAATTAAATCAATCGAAATCGAAAAAATAACGAAGGTAAATAATAAAAACAATATAAAGTACTAGTAAACTATTCTAGTGAAACCAATTACATAATAATTAAAAGTATGAAGAAAATATGGCAGGTGACTGATACATAACACCTAATGAGAAAAATGCATTACATGTCTTACCTGTTATTAAAAAAAATGTACAACCACTTATATTATCATTAGTAATAAGGTAATAACAGCAAAATCATAATTTCAATATTGTTATTCATGAATATTTATACAAAATTTGTAAATGTTTCTTTTAATAACAATAAA